AAAGGCTTTGGAAATGCTGTCACTGTTACTGCTGCAAGCAAATGGTGGCATACTCAGTTTAGCACTCTGGTCACTTTAATGGTATCACTAGAGGACAAGTCGTGATAGGAGGCTAAAGAGCAAACTTTAGCATGATAGCACAGCTGAGACAAATCTTGTATGACTCAATTTGTTGTTTGAAATTTGCTCTTAAAATGATATGATTTGACTTTTGCTAGAACCAGACAGAAGGAGAAAAGCATGCCCTATGGCCCAAGGTAACTGTGCAGTAGTAAATATGGAAATGCATTTTAAAAAACTCAAAAGAGAGTGTGCTCAAGCCATGAATGAAGCTTTTCATAGGCAGAGATTGACATATTTGGCTGCTCTTTTTGGTCTGAAACTTTAGAAATTAGCCCTGAAACCTTGCCGAATTTAATTTTGTGTGAAGTATACTGCATGACTGAATTTCTTAGAGAGAAAGTGTGTGTGAGAGAGAGAGAGAGAGAGAGAGAAAGAGAAGGGAGGAGTTGGAGGCAAGTTAGTCTTTGTGTCTACACATACAACAATATGACTTTCTGTTTATGTGTTGGGGCATGTAAATGGCAAATATTTGCTTCCAGTGACCCAAATAGACTCTTATCTTTTATATAGAGACCTGAATGTGATTGCTGGAATCTGCTGATATTACTCAAAAATCAGTTCCCATTTTAATACAGAAAATACAGTTTTCATGTATGCAGGGATGCTTTGGACAGTAGTAATCTGTCAACAGATTTTCCAAAGGAAGATTAAAAAAATTCTGTGTGCATGTAGAAAAGACAGAGTGGAATAAAAACAACGATAATGTTGAGTTTTTGGGTTCTAGCAATTAGTCTTTGATATCAACACTTCAATGACTTAAAGAAGTTATGAATTGGTTTACATGATGTTAAAGATGATTGGTAGGCTAGGTTTTGCTCTTGTTATGGAATGTGTGTGTCTGCGAACTACAATCTCTTGTAAGAATATATCTGAAAAAGACAAGGAAAACATATAGTCAAAGTGCATGCATTAATGTTTTTATTGTGTGTTTATATTTCTGGTGTCTCCAAATATCAAAGAACCTATTAATGCTGGTCCCTAACGGCTAAAGTTATATTCACTATGTCTGTTTGTGTGGTACTACTCAAAGAAATCTTTTTTTTTTTTTTTAAGATTTCACTCCGTCTAGATGATCTTAGGATTGTAGTCTTTACATTTTTTATACTCTGCTGTTTCAAGTGTGGAAACTGCATCAGTGTTGAAGGAAAATGTATTCCAGTGTTTCAATAAAACCACATGATAAACAGATGTTTGTGTGTTACTTTCATGTTTTTATGCTTTGGTTTATTTAAAGCTCCTATATGGTCCAATTTGAACATTTTATTTAACTCTAAACTTTTTTTAGCCACCCTGTTGGTGTAGCTTTGTCATGTCACAATGTGAGTTAATCCCCTTGTAAGTCAAGACTGAAATATGTCAAAGTTTATTAGAAGCTGCAGAATCTGGTATAGATATTTAATATTAAGTGTGTGACACACACACATAAGAAAATAACTGGTAATATGAGTCAATAAATATACACATTTACCTGTTGCAATGGAAACAGCCAGGGTTTAATACAAGCTTGTATGACATAAACTACCAGCTGATTTGACCAGATGCAAATGGGCTATGATGTGTTTGATCACAGTGAAGTTATATTTGCAGTTTCACTTTGTGTTTTCACCATTTCATTTGTTTTAGCCATTCATGAAAATACAAAGGCATCATTGTTTCACTCAGAAATTATTATGTAGGAGGACTGACTCTCTTTGGGCGCAGACTGCTGGCCTCACATAGTTATAGCTTGTATTTCATCTGGAGCCATCAAGGGTTGCATCAGACTCTAGAATACTACTAATCATTTTCTTTTTCTTACAATTTTCTCTGCCTGACAGAGGAAACTCCAACAAATAGGAGGAATCTGTTCTGCTTCTCTCATCGCCCAATTCACCTCTCATCATGGCAATAGTCCT